ATTTTTTGTTTACACGCTAACACTCGCCCAGCAGCAACGTGTTTATTCTGCTGTAGGGAGATAGAGAACTGCCCCAATGAGGAGAAACAGGAAATGGTAGAAATATATAGAGATCGTTACGGTTTCACAGAAGAAGATGCAGACTGTCTCGTCAACATAACCTTCAAATACCGCGAGTTCTTTGTACAGCATATGATGGTTGAAGAGCTGGGTCTGATGGCTACGGAGGGCCCTAGCCCCATAAGAAGAGGTAATGCAACGAAACTCAGACAACACAGTGTAGTGTAGCCGTTTCAGGGCTCTTGACGTTTGCTTTCTTAGTCGTTATGGCTGCTCTGCAAATGTAATTCATGTTTTTTAGGAGAAGGGAGAGCTTGTTGCATCTTCTCACTACTCTAGAAGCAGTGTTAGTGCGTTAGTATTTTTCGTAGCTTGCTGGGTGCCTGGCTGACGGTGGTATCCTATTTGTTAGATGTAAGGATGATATTAGCTTGGCGGTGTTGAAAGTGGCTTTTGGGAGTGGTGATGTGTTCTGGCTTTTTGCTGCTGAATAACATGATTTAAACTTGACGAAATAAACCCAATTTGAACTAAGCACGTGTGCAACATACAACGTGCGCGGTGAGAGCACGGTTCCTGTGGTTGTTATTTCTCTGCTTTGCAGGGGTGGTGATGTTCGCATCCTTCTCTATTTTCGGGTTGCTGCCTCTTGCTGGATTTGTTGCCTGGCTGACGTTGTCAGGCATCGGCACAGACGGCCACTTGGCGTTCGCCATGGCCTGCGTAATCTCAGGAATTGCGTTGTTCATCTTGGGGTTCTTCAAGGTAGGATGAGGCGCCTACAAACAATGCAATCTGTCTGCTTTCCCTTCCCACTCATGCATGTATATGTCTGAATATATGTACATATGCATATACATACATATACGTATGTAGATGTAACATACACGCTCGTGTAAATATATAGCCGTAAAGGTAATAAATATAATGACAGAGCAGCAAACGCTCGCGTTCTATGTACAACCCGGCTCGTCCAGCAATAACTTGTGCTCTATGCACCTCTCCACCGTATGCGTATATATATATATATATATATATATATATATATATATATATATATATATATATATATATATAT